TTGTGTGCCTGCCTGTTCAGGAGTTTGTAAATTATCGTGAAGATTATGCAGAGATGATGCACTTTTCTTTACATATCCTCTATACATGTGTTCTGTGTAGATACACACACACACAAGTAAAACATATATTTTGGATACAAGTCCATCATGTGATTTGTAAATACTTTCTCTATTCTGGGCTGTCTTTTCATTCTCTTGACAGTATATTCACACATACATATTTGCATATATTTAAATATACATATTTTAAATTCATAGGCTATTTTAAAATAAATTTATGTGTTTTTAGTAGCCCCCCACACCCAATGTGGGGCTTGAACTCACAACCCTGAGATCAAGAATCGCAGGCTCTACCGACTGAGCCACCCAGGCACCCCTCATGGGTTATTTTTTTGAGCAGTTTTAGGTTTGCAGAGAAATTGAGCAGAAAGTAGACTTACTATATATATCTTTTCCCCACTCCCCCTCCAGTTTCCCTTTTTTTTTTTTTTAAAGATTTTATTTATTTATTTGACAGAGAGAGAGAGAGAGACAGTGAGAGCAGGAACACAAGCAGGGGGAGTGGGAGAGGGAGGAGCAGGCTTCCCTCAGAGCAGGGAGCCCGATGCGGGGCTTGATCCCAGGACCCCGGGATCACGACCTGAGCCGAAGGCGGACGCCCAACCTACTGAGCCACCCAGGTGCCCCTCCAGTTCCCCGTTATTAACATCACATTAGTGTGATACAGCTGGTGCAACTGATGAGACGTATTGATACATCACTAACTAAAAGTCCATAGTTCACATTAGGGTTCTATAGGTTTTGACAAATATATGACTTGTATCCACCATTACACTATCATCCAGAAGTTTAACTGCCTTAAAAATCCTATGCTCCCTCTTTTTATCCCTCCCTCCCCCAGAAACCCCTGGCAACCATTCATCCTTTGACTGTCTCCACATTTTCTCCTTTTCCAGAATGTCATGTAATTGGAATCATTCAGTCTGTGGCCTTTTTTGACTGACATCTTTCACTTAGCAATATGCATTTAAGGCTCTTCCATGTCTTTCCATGGCTTGACAGCTCATTTCTTTTTACTGCTGAATAATAATCCATTTTATAGATACACCACAGTTTATCTGTTCACCTATTGAGTATCTTCAACAATGTATTTTGAAGTTTTTGATTTTGACTAAATCCAGGTTAACTGTTGCTTTTATCTATTATTTTTTTATTTTTATTTTTTTAAAATATTTTATTTATTTATTTGACAGAGAGAGACACAGCCAGAGAGGGAACACAAGCAGGGGGAGTGGGAGAGGGAGAAGCAGGCTCTCCGCTGAGCAGGGAGCCCGACGCGGGGCTCGATCACAGGACTCTGGGATCATGACCTGAGCCGAAGGCAGACGCCTAACGACTGAGCCACCCAGGCGCCCCAACTGTTTCTTTCATTGATGTGCTTTAGTGTCATACCAAAATATCTCACTTTTTTAAAATAAGTTTTATGGTTTCAGGTCTCACATTTAGATTTATGCTTTAATTTTTGTATATAATGCAAGATACGGATTTTAAACATATGGATATCCAATTTTTCCAGCAACATTTTTTGAAAAGACTATCTTTTCAATTACTTTTATTCCTTTGTCAAAAATCAACTGACCTTATATGTACTTCCAAGCCAATTTCTGACTATTCTGATGCACTGATTTACTTATGTACCTTAAATCAGCACCATACTACTTTGATTACTGTGGCTTTATAATGAGCCCTGAAGTTAGGCACTGTAAGTCATACAACTTGTCCTTGTTCAAACTTGGGAGTATTCTACCTCCTCTGCAGTTCCAGATTAATTTTAGAATCAGTGTGTCAATTTTTACAAAAAGTCTGCTGGGGTTTTGCCAGGAATTGCACTGAATCTATAGATCAATTTGAGAAGAATCACTCTGACCAAATCTCCCGATTTATGAATATGGTGTATTCTTTCCATTTATTAAGGTCTTTAATTTCTCCCAGCCATGTTTTTTAGTTTCCAGTATATAAATCTTGCACATCTTTTTTCAAATTTATCCCAAGCATTTAATATTTTTTGATGCTGTTGTAAATGGCATTTTCCCCTCATTTCAACTTCCACTATCTTGCTGGTTATCTAGAAATAATGGCACTTATTTTTTGCATATTGATCTTGTACCCTGCAATTTTGCTAAATTCACTTACTAGGCCCAGTAGCTCCTTCTGTAGATCCCGTTTGTTTTTTATACATAGAGCCGTGAGTGTCAACTGAGGGTGCTAATGTCCCTCGAGGGACATTTGGTAAGGTCTGGAGACAATTCTGGTTGTGGCAAGTGACATGTCTTAATGATATCTAGGGGACAGAGGTAAGGGTGTTGCTAAATGTCCAACAACGTACTAGACAATGCCACCCCTTCACTTCAACAAGGAATTATCTGGCCCCAAATGTCAACGGTACCAAGACTGGGAAAGTAATATAAACAATTAGGTCATCTTCATAAACAATTTTACCTGTTACTTTCAACCTGGAAGCTTTTTTTTTCCTTGCCTCATTACACTGGCGAGAATTTCTTACACAATGATGAACACAACTGTTAAGACCTGACAACTTTGGCTTGTTACTGATCCCGTCTTTTATTATTCTCTATGTCAGTATAGGCTTTTCATAAACACCCTTATTATTTTATTTCAGAGGGAGAGAGAGAGAAAATGCACTTGGAGGGGAGGGGCAAAGGGAGAGGGAGAGAATCTCAAGCAGGCTCCATGCTCAGTGCAGAGCCAGATGTGGCCCAACCTCATGACCCTGAGATCATGACCTGAACTGAAATCAAGAGTCAGATGCTCAACAGAGCCACCCAGGAGCACCATAAATGCCCTTAATACGCTGGCCAAGTTTCATTTCATTCCTAGTTTGCTGGCAGGTTTTTTTTTTTTTAAATTAGGAATAGATAGATGTTGGGTTTTATCATGTTTTTCTCTGTGTCTAGTAAGATGATCCATTTGGTTTTCTTCTTCACTCTGTTAACAGTGTAAATTACATTGATCAATCTTCAAATGCTAAGCTAACTTTGCATTCCTGGGACAAACCTCACTTGGTCATGTTATACTATGCTTTGCAGTATTGGATTCAACTTGCTAAAAAGTGTTTTAAAAGAATTTTTGTATCTATGTCCACAAGAGATATTAATCTTTTTCTTTTCTTGTAATGTCTTTGTCAAATTTCAGTGTCAGAATAATGCTGTCTTTATAGAATGGGCTGGGCTGGTTAAGACGTCCTTCCTTCAATTTTAAGTTTATGCAGAATTAGTAATATTTCTAGTTTTTAACTGTCAATTCAATGCTTTAATAGATATAAGGCTATTCAAGTTATCTACTTTTTTCTTGAGTGAGTGAGCCATGGTAGTGTCTTCCAAGGAATTTGTTCCTTTAGTCTAAGCTGCTGAATTTGTTGGCATAAAGGTGTTCATGTTCTCTGATTATCCCTTTAGCACTGACACCATTACTCTTATTCATGATATTGTTAATTTGTCTTTTTTTTTTTTTTTCTGGTTCAATATGGCCAGGGATTTCTCTATTTTATTGGTCTTCTCAAAGAATCAGCTTTTGTTGTCACTGATTTTCTCTGTTTTTGTTTTCTATTTCATTGGTTCCCACTCTGACACTTACTATTTCCCTTTCTGTACTCACTTTGGGTTTCATTTGCTCTTGTTTTTGTTTCTTAAGACGAATGGCTGAAATTACTGGTTTGAGATCTTCTAGTATAGTTTTGGCTACATTCCACAAATTTTAAAATGTCACGTTTATTTTCTCACCTCAAAATTCTAATTTTCCTTCTGATTTCTCCTTTGACCCATGGGTAATTTAGAAGTGAGTCATTCAGTTTCCAAATATTTAGATTTTCCAGATATCTGTTACTGATTTTCTAACTTAATCGCATCGAGGTCAGAGAACTTGTTTGTTTCATAGCCCAGAATATGATCCATCTTGGTAAATGTTCTTTACACACTTGAAAATGTGTATTTTGCTGGTATTGTGTAAAGTGTTCCATAAATGTCCATTAGATCAAGCTGGCTGATGGTGTCATTCAACTATATTCTTGGTGATTTTCTCAGTACTTGTTCTATCGTATATTGTGAAAGGGGTACTGAAATCTCCAACTACAATCTACAGCACCAACTTACAATTGGGTTTTGATTAAAAAAAATTTGGTTTTGCTTCATGTATTTTAAAGCTTTATTATTAGGTGCAAAACTGTTTAGAACTGTTACAACTTTTTGATGAATGTACTGCTTCATCCTTACGAAATGACCCTCTTAATTTCTGGCTGTATTCTTTGCTGTGAAATCTGCAGAGGCTTGCAGATGCAGACCATAAATTCAGTTTTAAACATGTATACACAACACGAGATATCTAACAGCAAAGGCCTAAGAGCTCAGGAGAGAAGTGTGGAGATACAGACTGAGTGAACACGGTCCGTGTGGTGCCAGGATATGAAGGTGCTCCATAAATACTTATGATAAAAAGTCTGAGTAAACTCTGGTCTCCAAAGTAATTACACCATTTAAAACTCTACCTGATCCTAGGTCATATGAGGATAAATTCCAAATTCAAAGGAGTCCTGAAAGTCTACCATGCTTTCTAGTGAGTTATGCACTAGGTTTTCCACAACAGCTATTTCCTACCTTTTCCACATTGCTTAAACCTTCGCTTTCTTACCTCCCGTCTTGTTTTCAGCGGGTGTTCCGTCTCCCTCATTCGTGGTGAAAAGAGAAGCCGCCAGAGAATTCCTTCCCTTTCATTCCAATCAACACCTAAGACTACCTGCAGCTGCAAGCCGTCCTCCCTCCCTGCCTCCCTCCCTCCGCTATGAAAAGTGTGCGTCTTGTGCCCAAAGAGAGTTTTACTCTCCGTACTCTGGGTGTCACCCCTCCCTCTTCGTACAGGCAAACCTTCTCGCCCCACAGGCTCCCTCCCAGCAGCTTCAAGCTGCTCAGGAATTCCCATCAAGGCACCTCAGCCGCACACCGTCTTCCAGCTCCCACACCTCCTTCTCCACAGCCAGACGTCGAGTCACCTCCAAGTGTCCGCTTCTTTATTCTTCCTCCGCCCCAGCACTGCAGCGGGACTGTCCCTGAAAGATCCCAGGATCATCCCGCTGGCGCTAGACCTAAGGTACGTCTTTTCTTCCTTTTCCTACGTCCCCTCAAACAGCTTCCTGGGCTCTGGGACGCGCCGCTCCCCCTCTGCGTGTTCTGGCACCCTCTGCCTAACTCCGTTTTCCGCTCTCTTCGGCTCTCGGACAGTCGGCCGCCGTCGACTCGCTGAGGACGTCAGTACCCGTCGGTGGCGCGGCCTCTTCCCTGAGCCCTCGGGGCACCAGGCGAACGCGCTGCTGGGGGACGCCCGCCCCGGGGGAATTCCAGCGGGAACGCTTGCCGACGACGGCCAAGCAGGACACGGTCGGGCCCGGCGCCTGCTCCGACAAAGGCAGCGGGCGGGGTACGGGGGCCGAGCCTTCGGACCCGTCTTCCAGCCCGCGAGAGAACGCGAGCCGGCAGACGACATCAGGCGCCGAGCGGGCCGGCGAATGGCCTCCCCCGCAGGGGCAGCCGCAGGTGGCGGGTGACCGCGATCCGGGGCCCAGCGCCGCCAGCTCGGACGCTTCCACGGAAGCTGGGAACGGGGCTTCTTAGGGTTCTTCCGGCTTTTGGCAGCAACCACCTCGTGTGCTCAGAACAAACCCTCAGACCGGCCCCCCCGAACCGAACCAGCTAGGCGCGCGCCCGGTGCTACCGACCTTGCTCCACAAGTCGCGGGGAGTGTCGCCGGCTGGGCGGCCCAGCTGGCGCTTCTCAAGAGCTGCGGCCCAGCGAGCCGCTCCCGGCCGCGGCTGACGCCCCCGTAGGCCCGAGCACCCGGAAAGGAGCCTCCGCAGACACGGCCGCACGCCGGGCCCGGAGCCGCACCGCCCGCCAGCCAGGCGCCCGGAGCGCGGCGGCCGGAAGCTCGCCGCGAGGCGGGCGGCGCCGCGCAGGCGCGATCCGCGCCCAGGCATCTGCGCACGCGCACGCGCGCCTGCCGGCACGGCGTTCTCCGGCGCTGCGCCGCGCCCCCGCGCGCCCACGTCGCGGCGTCGGGGCGGAAGATGGCGCGGCTCGGGGCCGGCGGTTGCTGAGCGGACCCGGACGCCGCTGGACCCGAGCTCCCCGCTCCGGCGCGCGCTGCGGGGCCGCAGCCATGTCGCTGCTGCAGTCTGCGTTGGACTTCCTGGCAGGCCCGGGCTCCTTGGGCGGCGCTGCCGGCCGCGACCAGACGGACTTCGTGGGGCAGACGGTGGAGCTGGGCGAGCTGCGGCTGCGGGTGCGGCGAGTCCTGGCCGAGGGTGAGGCCCAGGCCGGGGGCGCGGGGCCGGGCGCGGGGCCGGCGGGGCGGGGGCGGGGCGGCCCCGGCGCGGGGGGGTGGGGAGGGTCGCCGCGACGTGGAGCGGGTGAGGCCGACCCGGCGCGACTGCGGCGGGTGAGTGAGCGGGGTCGGGGGCTGGGCGCTTCCTTGCCGGAGGCGTGGCGGTTGTGGAGGCGCGGGGCCGACCTGCGGCCGGAGGCGAGCCGTGGCAGTGGGGGAGAAGGTGGTGGGCAGGTGAGGGGCCACGGTGGGCCGGAAGGAAGGGGACCCAGGAGGCTGGGCAGTGCGCCGGCTGGGTATGAGTCAGGGCCCGTGCCTGGCGCTAGGGCCGTTGTGGGGGTGATGGGGCGGCCCTGGATTTCTGGACATCGGGCTGACTTTTTGGGTGCTGCGCCCCTGGGTGACGGTGGCGGCTCTCCCTGGATGTTGGGATAGACGGTACCGTGACCCGTCGCCCAGCTTCCTCCTCTCGCCGCCTGTTTGCCTTGCCCGATCTCTGCTGTGAGTCCACCCAAGTTAGGGCATGCCCGCAGTCGTGACCTGTCCAGAGCCTTGCAGGTTGGACTCGTCAGTCGCGGAGGACTTTCCGGGCCATCCTCTAGTCATCTTTGTTTCCGCACGCGCGCTCCAGCTTCCTGACGTCCTTTCTCTTCCTCACACAGAATCTATTGCCGTCGTCGGCGTGGTCCCCTTCTCTCCTCTGGATTTTCCTTACGTTTTGTCGGGGCGCCCACAGGGGTATGTCACACTTTGCTAGCTGGGATGCTTGCTGGCTGAGCGTGGTTGGCTCTGGGGCTGGTGCTGGAGCAGAACGGCCTTCCCCTGAGTTAGCGTGGGGCGAGGGAGTGGTGCACGGTGGGACCACAGGCCTGTCGGGGGCAGCTCTCAGGACTGCGGGCTCGGCCTGTCAGGCGGCCCGACCTCCTGCCCTGTGTGCTCAGTGCAGTCGGGAAACTGGCGACCCTTCTGAAGTCCGCGCTCCTAAAGGCCTGAGGGGGTGTTCTGGCTGTAGCATTATAACACGCTTTTTCTCCACTTGGGTAAAAAACAGATTTGGGGCGTGACTTTCTTACAGAGGTGGGGCCAGGACCTCTATGAACATTGAAAGAGTGAGAGTTCCCAAAATACCAGGCAATTATCTTGGTTTCTTAAGAGATTCATAGTGGACAGTAGGTGGGTTTTGCCTTCTGGAGTTTAAAATTAGACACACACTCCAGTGAGGGAAAGACAGCGCAGTATTGGGGGAGCCTTGGGGCAGGGCAGGCAGCGGCGAGGGTTCCAACAGGCCAAACTGAGGTGAGAGGGTTGAGAGTGCGCCCCTACCAGGGCAGGGGCGGGACCAGGCAGGAGGAGGGGTAATCAGCCATGGGAGGTGGGTCCTCTGGAGCAGGAAGCTTCCTGGTCGCTTAACACACAGGACAGAGAACAAGGAAATGGGAAGGAGCCAATATGGTTGTGCAAAAGAACCCACTCCCTTTGCTATCTAGACAAGTCAGGATATAAAAATACCCCTCACAGTCTTGGTCTTTAGAAAAGTAACAGAGCCTTGTAGCCTTTAAAGCTTGAGAAGCCTCTTCCTGAACTTAAATGGTAAGAAAGCCATGTGAAGTCTTTCAGGAAAAACAGCAACTCTGGAACCTAGGCTGTGGGAGTTCATGCTGTCTTGGGGTAAACGTGGGGAAGGTTCCAGACCCGAAACCGTTGGGTAGAGATGTTGACAACTTCACAGTTCTTCAGGCTTCGGAAAGATAGCAGACATCCTGTATATCCTATGATATTCCTACAAGAGTGGGGAAGGTCTTTAATAATCGGATAAATCATATATCCATGATTAGATGAGTGAGTATCCTCACTGTGGGGTAATGAAGTCTTTAAATAGCCCCACCTCAGTTCATGTCAGGTGTTGCCCCAGATGAATTTAGGATAGATCAGATTTTGCTGTCAGGTGGTTTAGGGAAAAAGACATTATTTTCATGGCTTTTTGGAATTTGCATCTGGAGCATGAAATGGGCTGTGGGGCAGAACTGTGGAGCCAGATGGCTTCCTGATCTTTTGACAATTGGTTTTAGGTTTTCATTAAAAAAAAAAACCGCAGTGTCAGAGATGCTGGGCCCAAGCAGATTCTAGAATACATTCTTTATGATCTCTTGTTTTGGATTTTGCACGTTCTTGCTTGCTTCCTACTGTCCAGAGAGGTAACAGAGGTGATCGCTCTGCCAAGATGGGTTTTGCCCCGAAGGTGAGTCCACCTCTCCAGGGACTGACTTTGGCTGCACTGCCAGTGATGTGGACGGGGTGGTGTGTGGGCAGCTCCTCAGAGAAAGAAACAAGTCCGCAGAACTGTCCCGTAATGTATGTGTAACTAGTCGTGTGTGTTTGCTGGAACACCGTGTGCCATGTGTGCTATCAGTGGCCTTTGATGAACGTGGGTCCCCTGTGTTCTGTTTGGGGTCAGTGCTGGCCCGAGAAGCTGCGAGGGCACTCGCCACACCCCGGCTGTTGTCCTAGCCCTCCACCCCTCTGCTTCCTGGCCCCTGCTTTTAGAGGGCTTCTCCCCTGTGTGCAGTGTCAGGATTGGTGAGGGCACAGGGGCCGTTTGATCGGCTGGCAGTCGCAGGGTTGTGTGATAGGACTCTCGGCTGGAGGGTTCAGAAGCCACTGGGGTTGGTGTGACGGAAGGAGAGGATCGTAGGTTGAATCAGGACATCCTCTACAGGGATACACAGTGTAGCACATTTTAAGTTGATTTGAAAAGATGATTGGGCGGTCGTTGCTCACTGACATTCTAGCATATGGCTCTTTCACACAGGAAGTGTGCCTGAGCCCTGTGGCTTGGTGGTCTTGTTCCGAGTATCTTTCCGCTCGACTTCCGTGGCTGCTCTCACCCAGGGAGGGGTGCTGAGTGGATTTTTTCTCCAGCACGGATAACCGAGGTCTTTGCAGGAAGGGCTTACACCTTGGGCAGCTGGTTCTAGTATTCAGAATGGCGTGGTTCAATCTTGTTCTGAATTGCCCTCTCTTAGTTCTCCTAACCCCACCCTCTAAACTTGCCCCTTGGCGACTTTAACATCAGCCCCTTACCCTCCGTGACTGACACCTAGTGTGAAGTAGTAACGATAACCAGCGCAACAGCATTTATGGAGTTTTGACTGTTTGGCGGGCACAGTCCCTGGGGTTTCCTGTGGCCTGTCCTCCTGACGGTGGCTGACAGCACGGGCCGTCAGTAGCTTGCCAGCGCTGCCAGCCAGTGAGTGGTGGAGTTGGGACTGGTGGGGCGTATCTTTGGTCACCCACGTGGTGGCGCAGGTCCCCCTGTAGCATGTGTCCTGCAGGGAGAAATGTCCAGAGGATGTCACGGTGAAAGCAGCAAGCAGCAGTGCACCTGCTTGTGGAGCCGCTGGACGTGGGCGCTGCTTGGGGGCCAGGGTGGGAGCTGTGTGCCAAGGCTCCCGCTCCTTCTTGGTCTGTGCCTCAGTTGACTGCAGGTGCAGGTGGTATGCAGGTGCCTGGAGTGGGACATCATGGGGAGGTCACCGTGGAGGGGAGATTATTGTGGGAGGAAGTCACCCTGCGGGGAGGTCCTGGGGGGGTGGTGTTGGCGCAGGTCACTGTTGCAGGGCATGGAAAAGGCTGCCCTCTGTCTTTCCATTGGCCCGGCCTGTTTGTCTCTGTGGACTCCTGCCGTCCTCATGGGCACGTATCCCTGAAAGATCTGTGGTGATCATGTGAGGCTACGAGATGCAGGTGATGGGGTGTCTGTTCCTTAGAAACAGTGTTGATTGATAACACATCGTAAGATCTCCCAGATTGCTCCTTGTGCTGGTGTACCACGTTTCCTGGTGCTCACTTTTCCCCCCCACCCCACCCCACCCCTGAGCCCGTGACCCTACGTAGAGGCCTGCCAGACCCCACTGTCCCCGCACCATCCTCATTGCAATGGGCAAAAACTGTGTGGGCTTGTGTTGATTTGCGTTTCTCTGACTCATGAGTTTGAGCATTTTTCAGTGCTTACTAGCTTATTCAGACTCCTGTTCTAGAATCGTGCATGGAGGGCGCCTGGGTGGCTCAGATGGTTAAGCATCTGCCTTTGGCTCAGGTCATGATCCCAGAGTCCTGGGATCGAGTCCTGCATTGGGCTCCCTGCTCCTTGGGAGCCTGCTTCTCCCTCTGCCTCTCTCTCTCTCTCTCTGTCTCTCATGAATAAACAAATAAAATTAAAAAAAAGAAGAAGAAAAGAATTGCGCATGGATATCCTATGCCTATTTTTCTTTTTAATTAAAAACAATTTATTTTGGGGCGCCTGGGTGGCTCAGATGGTTAAGTGTCTGCCTTCGGCTCAGGTCATGATCCCAGGGTCCTGGGATCGAGTCCCACATCGGGCTCC